TTTCGGCGGTTATTTACTGATCTCCGCCATCGTCAGGCAAACAAAAGGATCCACTTGATGTGTCGTCAGAATAAATAAATAAAACACACATTTTACAAAACACAAAAACGAAAATGATAGGCCTATCAATTACACGCACTGCCGTGGACATGGCAGGAAGCAGAACCTGCAGAGTCTGCTTCCTGCCGAAACATATAACCGCCGAAACATATGTAGCAACATCGACACTACATGTTAAGGATTGTCTGACGAGGTATGTTTTAACCATTATATGTCATATTACGCAATCCTGGGGCTATAAAAATGAATTTTAATCTAACTATTTACACATGATCAGCTGTTACCAACATAAATTAAATACAGATCAAGTAACAGCAAACATATTATATAAAAATAATACCCCCGCCGCAGCAAACCTGCAGACTGAGCGAATTTCAACTTGACTGATTACATTTTTACTAAAATATTTCCATAAATAAGACATATTTATTCTATTTATTCCCTATTTAAATAACATTAGATTAGATTTAACAAGTGCTTAAGTTTGCTGCTACGGGGAAGGTAATATAAGTGTTTTTTGACCATACGTCAATAGTATAGGATGAAATAAATAAATTTGCCAAATTTGATCAATATATATCCATAAATAATAAGATTCAATAAGATTTATTGCAGCCATTAAACATAACATTTTGTAATAGGCATTGTTACAATAGTACTTAAAATTAGATCATACATCAATTATAAATTTCAATATATACAATATATCCTATTTTGAATCTAAACATGATATGTCACTATTTAAAAATTCTTCCTGCGGGTGGAATGCTTTTCATTTTAAAAACTCCGCAATTTTTCTTTTAAATTGGTTTAAAGGTAGTTCACGAAAACAAGTGGGTAACTTGTTGAAGAAAATATGTTGGACGTAAAAATGGCTATTTAAAGTTTTTGAAAGTCTGATTTGAGGTGTGACTAGGTTGTTTTTGTGCCTCGTGTTGTATGGATGAGAATAGCTAGAAAATTTTAAGGGGTTGTTTTTTATATGAATTAAATTACAAAGAATGTACATAGATGGCAGTGTAAGCAAATTTAAATTGGAAAAGTGATCCCTACAGGATTCATGATCTTGCAATCCTAGCATGGCTCTAAGAGCTTTCTTTTGCCAAACAAAAAAATGCTTTCTGAGCTAAGTGTGAACCACCCCAGAGACGCAAACCATAAAGCAGCTGTGAGTGAAACAAACCGTAGTAAGTCATTACCAAAGTGTTAAAACTCACACATGATCCAAGTTTTCTCAAGAGACAGGTTATTCTAGCCAATCTTTTACAAAGTTCTGTAATGTGGTTATCCCAGCTTAGTCTGTTGTCAAGATGGATGCCTAAGAGTTTGACTGTTTTATAAGCATCAGTGGGTTGATCTTTATTTAGAGAAAAGTAGATGTATTCTGTTTTTTCCTCATTGATAGCCAAATTATTGACTTTATACCAGAATTTAGCACAGTTTAGGGCATGATTAAGATCGTACTCAACTGTTAAAACATTATCATCTTTACAGAACAGGGTAGTATCATCAGCATAAAGTATTGATAAAACTAAAGTCGTTAATAAAAATCAAAAACGGGAAAGGTCCTAAAATGGAGCCCTGCGGAACACCAGCATTCAATTCTAAAATATCAGAATAATCATCTCCTATCACGACCTGCTGTTTACGGTTTTCCAGGTAGGATTGAATGATGTTTAGTTCACGGTTCCTATCGCCATTAATATAGTTTATCGGTAATTATATCGATCACGGACGTGTCGCTAAAATAATTTTTTTTCACTATTCTTATGCTAAATTACGTCCTGAATTAAAAAATGATTGTCATTTTCGTCGGAAAAGCGCCGTTTCCCGGGAAAAGCGGAAAAACGGAAAAACCAAAACCTTCGCGGAAATGGGTCATGTGTATACTCAAATTAACCGGTAGAGTGAACTGAATAGCTATCTTGTATCATTAACAAGACTTGAAGATTTTGTCAATAGGTTAAGTAATATCAATTGGTCTACCTTGTATTCTATTAATGACATAAACTTAGCTTTTACATATTTTCTTAGGGTTTTAATTTCAGATTTTAATTTGTGCTGTCCTGTTGTAACCATGGCCAAAAAAAGGTTAGGTTAGGTTATGTTAAGTTAGGTTAGGTTAGGTTAGGTTAGGTTAGGAAAAAGCGCGGCCGGAAAAGTTCATTAGTCACAGGAACAACGGCATCAAGAGGATCCGTAGGTGCTGCTGTCTGTGGGGGCGATTTAGAGGTTATTTGGTGAATATATATTCTTTATACCCTTGATTATATTAGGTTAGGTTGGGTTAGGTTAGGTTAGGTTAGGTTAAGTTAGGTTAGATTAGGTTGTCTAACCTAACCTAACTTAACCTAACCTAACCTAACCTAACTTAACCTAACCCAACCTAACCTATCGTAACCTTTTTTTGGCCATTTTGACGCTAACTCGATTTACCGACGCTTTTCCTGACGTATCTCCGTTAATAGTAATCGGATCTTGAAAAATCTTGCATATTCTTGTTCAGTTCACTCTACCGGTTAATTTGAGTATACACATGACTCATTTCCGCAAAAATTGGTTTTTTTAGTTTTTCCGGGGAAACCGCGCTTTTTCGGCCGTATCTCCGTTAATATTAATCGGATCTTGAATTGTTATGCATATTCTTGTTCAGCTCACTTTACCGGTTAATTTAAGTATACACATGACCCATTTACGCAAAATTTTTGTTTTTTTCCGTTTTTCCGCTTTTTTGGGAAAACGGTGCTTTTCCGACGAAAATGACAATCATTTTTGAATTCAGGACGTAATTTAGCATAAGAATAGTGAAAAAAAAATATTTTTGCGACACGTCCGTGATCGATATAATTACCGTACCAGTTTATCAAGAAGAATGGGATGGGAGATTGTGTCGAAGGCCTTGGTCAAATCAATAAGGCATGTACCTGTCACCAACTTGTCTTCAAACCCTTGCAAAACTTGGTTAATTAATTCTTCTACAGCCATTGTGGTTGAACAGTTGGCTCTAAAGCCGTATTGACCTTTATATAAAAGGTTATTCACAGTAAAAAAGTGTTGAAGCTGCTCAAGCATACATGATTCAATTATTTTTCCTAAAATTGGAACCAAAGCTATTGGACGATAGTTTGATGGAACATTCTTGTCGCCTTTCTTGTGAATTGGCGTTACTCTGGAGGTTTTTAAACAATCAGGAAACTTTCCTTCAATTAAAGCGAAATTTATAAGATGTGTTAAAGGTTCCAGGATAAAATTAACTATGTATTTAAGAGTAAAATTGGAGAGTCCAAACACATCTTCACTACGGGAACCACTGAGTTAACAGACCAAAGAATGCACTTTATGTTTATCAACAAGGGTTTATTTAAATATCTGGATGTCAGGAGTATTAGAATATGGCTTAGGGCAGTTACTCAACAATTCAAGATGAGTAATTACATTATCATCATTATAGTCAAACATTGTGTAAATTATGAAAAAATAGATTTGTCTGAATTTAGCTTTAACTTTTTACTTGAGGTATGTGCTATTAGATTGTTAGATTATGACTTATTAGTTTTATCTATTTATCGTACCCCTGATTCAAGCTTTACAGAGTTCTGTAGAAAATTGGAAGATCTTCTATTATTTGTTTCATCTAAACCTAAACTTTTCAAGTACATCGCCCTTGAACGATCGCCCTGGCTGGTGATTTCAATATAAACATCTTAAAGGTTAATGATAAAGAGGGAAAGTATTTTTTTAATTTACTTAGGTCATTTGATTTGTTCCCAACCAATGTCAAACCAACCAGACAAACTGCTTGTTTAGACAATATTTTCACTAATGTCAACAATCAAGCCTTGCTTCACTGTTTTATTACTGGAGAGGGAATAATATCGGATCATGCTGGAGTGGTTTCAAAATTCTTGATTGGTAAAAATAAGAATAACAATTGCTTAGTTAACAAAGAGGATTCTTAATATAGGAAACGCCTTGTATCATTAACAAGACTTGAAGATTTTGTCAATAGGTTAAGTAATATCAATTGGTCTACCTTGTATTCTATTAATGACATAAACTTAGCTTTTACATATTTTCTTAGGGTTTTAATTTCAGATTTTAATTTGTGCTGTCCTGTTGTAAATGTGAAAAGTAATATTAAGATGAATAATAGATGTAATAGTTGGTCTACTACAGAATTGGAGTCAATGCGTAAATATTTATTGTTATTGTATGACAAATGGAAATATAGCAAGAATGTAAATAATAGGAACAATTTTAAAAGTTACAAAAGCATGTATACAAACAAGATAAGAGAAGCCAAAATCACTGCTAATGACAAACTAATTGCTCAATCCAAAAATACATGTAAAAAAGCTTGGGAAATAATCAGAAAAGAATCAGGACAGATTAAAACATTTTCCAAAACAACTTTAACACCTAACACTCTCAACAATTTCTTTGTTCTGTTTCAAACAACACACAAAATAAACTCAATGTTTTCTATAGATTCCAGTACATCTGTTTGGACCATTTAATCTAATTTGTATCCATCCTCTATTTTGGCTGTTTGTTGGTAGCTCTCAAATACTTAAATTGTTAAGTAATTTTAAAACTGTATCCTATAACGTACAGCATTGAGATGTTAGACCCGCCATTTTTTTAAATTTTCATATAACTAGTTTTATTTTTATTTATCTTTAATCTACTTTCATTGCTAATGCTTCTAGGGCACTTTTGTCCTCTGCTATTCTTGCTACGTCATCAGCATAATTATGCTAACATCTTTTTGGGTCTCCAACCGTTTTTCCTCAAAGGCCACATTGTACATTTGGTAATTTTTTTGGAGGGAAAGCGGGCCAGTCATATTTCAGTGATGGAAGTCTACCCCGCTTAAACCCACTACACTATGCAGTTAGGCCTATCTAGTTTAGAGTTTTGTGAGGGTTCTAATGTTTCAGGTTTGTCACTTGGCTGTGTTGGTGGGGGTTGTTATAGGACTGATACTGTACCACTGGCTCCCTGCAGCCATTGTTATACTTACAATCTTTATTCTCACCTACGCATTGCTGGCAGTCATCTGGTATGGAAGCAATAGGTATGTACTAACTAGCTAAATATATGTATTACTAGCTGTACCCGCGGGCTTTGCCCCGTTTAACTTCATAAGTGAGCTCGTTCGCATGGCTCAATCACGTCCTGGTTGATGTTCGTTCGCTACGCTCACTCACTTTTGGGTTGGAGCTCGTTCGCTGCGCTCACTTGCCTTCAGGTTAGCTCGTTCGCTATGCTAACTCGCCTCCAGGTTGAAGTTCGTTCGCTACGCTCACTCACCTTTTGGTTGCAAATTAGCTGTTGTCATAAATGTAAAAGAAATAATCGTGCTGTACCCTGTTGGTAATCCTTGTAACTTTAATGCTATTGAACATCATAGAACAGAACCAACTTGTTTAATTGAAACAGCTGTTAAGATTCATTAATTCCATTTAAATATGAGTACTCATAAGGTTAACATGGGAAACTCCAGAGCCACTGGGGCGGAGTCCGATCAGAATAAAAACAGCTTAGTTTTCCTATTTAATGCCTAAAGAATCAGTGTACCAAATTTCAGCCTCCTAGGTAAATGGGAAGTAAGAGAATTAGTGATGAGTGAGTGAGTGAGTGAGTGAGTCAGTCAGTGAGTCAGTGAGGGCTTTGCCTTATATATATATAGATTAATCCTGTTATTGTTTGGAAATTTGGCTTTAGGGAACTGAAAATTGTTTTAAATAATCCAAACGGTGTATCGAAACGGGTGGCAGTAGGTGTGTGGTTTGTTTCCCTGCAGGAGGTTCACTTCTATCACAACGGTTTGTCTGACAGTGTCAGGGCTGTTTGTTGACTGAGGCCAGTGAATTGGTTTTCCCAAATTAGACTTGCACTTTTGACTGTTTTCTACTGGGATGCCAAATCGGTTGGTATGGTCTTTTTGGAATCTAGATACAATTTTAAGACTTATTTACATTTAGCATTTTCACTATAAACCTACTCATTTAGGAGCTACCTACATGATGCAACATGTACACCGGAAGTCATTTTTTCATAGGCTGTAACTCCTAAACTAGTGGATAGGCTATATGAAAAAAATGTCAAGAATAAAAAAGTTTTTAAATTGCATGTTCTATCTAAAAAAAACATGTGTAGTGATGTGACGAGTTGAGTTGGCGAGTCGAGTTGACTCGAGTCAAGAGTCGAGTCAACTCGAGTCATCTCATTCACAACTCGAGTTGGTACGAACTCGTACGGAGATTGCCGAAGCTACACGAACTCGTAACGTAACGAGTCCGACTTAAAAACGCAAAACTTAAACGCTATTGGCTCACAGCCTCAAAGCCGAGTCAAGAAACCGAACTCATACGGAGAAAGCCGAACCTTAACGAACTCGGGACGTAACGAGTTGACTCAATTTGACTCGCTTTCGGCCAATAGCGTCACAGCTTTACGAGTCGACTCTCATGGATTCAACGCTATTGGCGGAACGCGAGTTGAGTTGACTCGTATAACTGAAACCCTATTGGCCGAGTGCGAGTCTGGCGGGATCTGTATCAGTTCAAATTGTATAATTCACTGGGTCTTTCAAATAAGGTCCCACAAAGAGATTTAAGTAAATAAATGTAACTTTAACGGATATACTTAATAGGATAAAAATAAACAAATAAATAAAATGATAACAATTTAGTGGTATATCTTTTGAAGTGTTCAGAAATACGGTACAAACATGCAAAATAAAATAGTATGAACTTTTTTATCTTTATAAAATTATGTATCTTACCAAATACACTTGCAGCAGTTAACATAAATGATTTAACTGTTTAAAATTGACTATTTTCCGGTACCGAGTCGGCCGACTCGCAAAACTATAACCCTTCACGATCCACAAAACGAACTCGTACTGAGAATGCCGAACTTACACGAACTCGGAACGTCTCGAGTCGAGTCGACTTGACTCGTAAAGCTGATACGCTATTGGCCGCTACCGAGTCGGCCGACTCGCAAAACTATAACCCTATTGGTCGACTCAGAGTCGTTGCAGACTCACATGATGCATTGGTTTTGGGTCGAGTTCCGAGTTGAGTCTGACTCGACTCGAGCTCACGGCAGTTGGCGAGTCGAGTCACTCGAGTCAGGAAAGTACCCGACTCGTCACATCACTAAACATGTGTCTTTAGTGTGTTCCATAAGAAATTTCAAAGTTGGCCGCCATATTGGAAAATGGCGGCTGAATTTCAAAAAACTAAATTCATATTTTTTATTGCCACAAAAAATAAAGGAATGTCCCCCATTTAAAGTTTTTTTTATAATTCTTACCGTTTCTGATATCCCAACGGTGGCCTCCTTGAGTTGATCATCCTATATATTTATATATATATTAAATTATTGTAGTAAATAAAGTACAACTGAGCACCCTGTTATTTACTACAATAGGCTAATTTAATATATCAGCAGCCCTATTATGTGAACACCATAAAAAATATATATATTTATATAATAAGATTTTTATTAGGGGTGTGCGAATAGTGATTTTTGGGTTCGAATCGAATACTTCATAATATTTTCGGATATTGAATATTACCAAGCGAATATTTATGTTATTATTATAGACTCCAATCCAAAGAATTTTCCAATCACAGCTTTGGAACCCTACTAAGGTTAATAATTCTGATTTTAACCAGTGTAACATTTTAAAATAATCAATTTTTGCCCTTACATGTTATTTGTTCTTGGTACAAAATGGTACAGGTGTTATAGGTACAGGACTTCCAGTATTTTCTCATTTTATTTCATTGATATTACTAAAAAAATTATTAATTTCCTATATTTATGGTTTTCTAACAACAATTACAGTATCACACATTATTAACACCTTTGACATGATTATGTCAAGAAAAAAAACAGTTAAGATCCTATTTAACCTATTTTTATTTTATTTTTGCTTAACCTATTTTACTACTCAGATAGGTCATAGCCATAATAAATTAGTTAAAAATTAGGTAAAGAATTTGTAGGAATAAACATGTTTGCAGCAACATTTTGACAAGATAATGTAACACAATAACGGGTTAGGCCTACTTTTTCCCCAACCAACACAATAACGGGTTGTTTAAATTAAACTTTTAAAAACATAAATGCATTTAGTTAGGGGTATGCGGTGCACCTAGTACTATCCTAAAAGGCAAAACAATAGCAGGGTGGGATGGGTTGGACAATGACCTCGAAAGGAGCTGGCCACTGTGAATGGAGAAGGGGAGGGGGAGGGGAGGGTGCAACCTTGAAGCTATATTTAGACTAGAGGGCTAGCTTGGCTTTGGATTCTAATAGCAGGACAATGATACAAAGTTGTATTTTCGAGTATCCTTTGTCCGGTTTGACTTCAGATTCTCTTTTTCCATGTAGAAACTTTGAATTATCAAAAATATAATTTGAATTAACTACAAATATATTCAAATTAATGCCATGATTTGCATTTTTACATCAAAATACAACATTGCACAATCATTATATTTAGGTCATTGGCCTTTATTACGCATCTGGTTGTGTTGTTTCAGAAGAGAAGCTGAGACAAAATTGTGTAACAAAACAAGATAGTAGAATTAAAAAAATATATTTCTCTGTTCAATAATAGAAATAAATGTTGCTGATTATTTTCATAGAAATTAATTCACGGTAGTTCGTGTCTTGTTAAGGAGTATGTTTAATCTATGCTAAAGACTGTGAAGTGCAGTTCTAACCTCATAGCTTACTAGTTGCTACGGAGACAACACTTTCAGACGACTTATTTCGTCATTCTACTGTACTTTAAGTTCAGTTACAAAAAGTAGATCCTAATATTAACTAAGCTAAGAGAATATATTTAAAAGTTATACAAATAGATATCAGTCTGATAAACTAATACAAACTCAATTGCTGCTAAATATAGGCTATTGTTAATTAATCAAATAAGAATGGTTGACAGTGTTGTGTTTCCATGCCAGTAGGTTGCAGTAAGCCTATCGTATTTCTCGTCGCACAAAGAGAATACGAAACTCACCCTGACTTTTTCCTCTTGGTATATTCCACCTTGGGAGTGACCATCCCCTTACAAACTAAAAGTTGTTGTTCTCTTGCAGTAAAGAAACTGTGGAGTTGGAGGTTTCTCGTGTTGGCGTACCATCTAACCACTTGCAACAAATGACAAATAATGTACTTTTATTTTACTATTATGATCAAAATATAATTAATAAATGCTTTTAGTTATTGATTTAACTTTTTTACTCCAAAATAGTTAATAAGCGTTGTAATTAATTGATGTCAATTAATAGTCCTACAATGTTATCTTTATAGATTTGATTGCATTTCAACCACGTATCAGTTAATCATTTTTTCTACACCCACAATATACCAAGAGTCGATCATTGTTTGCACTGCAATTAGTAATTTAACTGACAAGTAATAGATCAAATATAGTTATGGTAACAAATCAATTAAATTAATTTGATGAACGTTTTCAACTCTTTCAATTGCGAAAAGTACAAAGGTCTTCGATGCAGTAGGTATATAAATTATATTAACAGTACTGTACTGGGTGATCAAAAACACGTTAGTCAAATAATTAAATTATTTAATTAGAGTTGTTATGTACATACATCTCAAATACTCAACGATAAAGGGAAAAAACTCAAAATACAGTAGGCTAATTGTGAACATATTTCCAAATAAAAAGCTATCCAGAGATATACGAGCATAATTATATAAACTGAATAAAGCTCTTCTTAAATTTATTATAATACCTGAATACAATAATATAAATTTAAATCATTCACAACGATCATTTGTCTTTGTTATAAAGGCGCTAATCGACTTTACAAATGCCGAATATGATTGATACAGGAAATTACCTCAATTTTGTAATTATCCTAAAAATGTTTAATATAAAAGTATTAAATTTGAAATAAATTTTTACTAACAATATTTATCAAAAAGATTTACAGGGTACTTTGTTTTTATTTTAAAAATCTTACAGTGTATAATAGTAGCCCTAAACTGCGAAAGAACATAGCATATTGGTAACAAATATCCCAA